GAGGCAGGAACCAAGGCACAGGAGGTCCTATGAAGGACAGCCAGGAATCCACAGCCTCCACTGTGTCAATGCATCCTGTCCTGCACTCTCTCCTCTCCCCAGCTTAGCAGCCACCTCCCACACCTGCCTCACAGCCTTCTCAGGCTCATATACCTGTCCAGTTCCTACATGAAGAAGTCCTGGTCTTCACTCCCTATTCCAGGACTTGTGCTAAGTGTATAGCTCCCTAACCTATGCCTCCCCTCCAAGGTTGTGTATTTCTTGAGTTCAGCCCCTGTGGCATTTCCCTAGAACCAGGTCACCTCCCCCCTCATCATCCTAACTGCTCCTTCCAGGTTCATTTCCCACTTTTCCAAACTCTGCCCTTGCTCCCTTCCTATTACCCATACACCCAGACTCTACTTCCCCCTTGAGTACCCAGATGCCTTGCTCCTTCACTCCCACCAGGACCCCTGGTTTTCCCCCACTCCAGCAGCTGGACACCTGGCTCCCCTCCACCTCTGTCCCTGCTTCCCTAGGCCAGGACAGCTTGCTCCCTGCCTTCTCTCTCCTGCACCTGGATACTTGGCTCCCCTTGCCCCTGTCCCTCCTTCCCCAAGTCAGGTCCTCAGCTCCCAACCCCAGGGCCCACTGGCAGCTCTGAAGTTGGGCTGGGACCAGGACTGCCCTGACCTCTCGACGCTGTCATGGTGGACACAGCCGTGGGAGCCGCCAACAGCGTAGATGAGGCCGTCGATGACGCCGACACCGATGCGGTTGCGGGGAACGCTCATGGGGGCACAGGGCGACCACTGGTTAGTCATGGGGTTGTAACAGTCAAGGGCACCTGAGTCTGTGTTGCCATCAGGCGAGTTGTTGCGCCCGCCCACGGCGTACAGGAGCCCCCCCACAGCACAGCTAGCCAGCCCGCTGCGAGGCACCTCCAAGTCGGCCAGCCGCAGCCAGGCACCATCATGGGGGTTGTAGGCTTCCAGGAAGCCAAGGGACTGGCGATAATAGCCACCGGCCGCGTAGATAAGCTGGCCCACCTTGGGCGTCCGGCTGGGCAGGCGCTGTGTGGGCTTGTGCAGTGTCAGGTCCTGGAAGATCTGGGCCAGGTAGTCCTGGCAGCGCGTGTCACCCTGCAGCACCTCACACTCGCGAAGCTGTAGTTGTAGGAAGCCAGGGCTGAGCGCGTGGCAGCGTACAGCCCTCAGTAGCGCCTGCACATAGGGGCGCCGGCTGGCACAGTCGTAGCGCACCCAGTCAATGCAGGCATGGAAGACCTCAGACTCACAGCGCACGTTCAGCTCATCCCGGCTGATCAGCGTCACCAGCTGACAGTGCGACAGGTTGAAGAACTCCTCCTGCTTTGCCACCTGTTGACAATGGGGGCACGATGAGGACACTGAGGGCACCAGCCCCGTGGCCCCCTCCCCCTCCCAGTTCTGGAGGTATGTGGAATACAGAGGCCCAGGTCCAGCCCCCACTGCCCTGAGAAGGGGGGCACTGAGATGCCCATAGGGGCAGGAGGAGGTCAGGGTATCTTCTCTCCTGCTGTTTTGATACCTCTGTCTCTGCAGATACTCTGAGTGCCCCCATCCCCCAGCTGTGGTCCAGCTGTGCCCACGTTCCCCCATCCCGACTCCAGGCTACTCCAGCCTTACTTCCTATATAAGCCTGGTTGCCCCTTGTCATGGTACATCACTAGCCCCCTTATAACCTCCATCACTCCCCCATTACTGACTCCCAGGAACCCAAGAGGCAGCCCCTTGCTCTGCCCTGTCTGGGTCAGCCACCAGGGTGAGCTACACTGACCTGAGCAGGCTGCACTCCACCCCAAACCAAGGAGGGAGTCTGGCCAGAGCCAGTCCCTCACCCTGGACTCTCCCAGACATGGAGTGAAGCCTATTTCTGTTGTGTTAAGGCTGTTGACTCCTGGCAACCCCACCATGCCCCTCTCCTCCCGAGAGATGTACTTACCGGGGGCCCCTTCCCTGCCTCCCACCCCTCCTCACCTGCCCAGAGTGCATGGAGTTGTACTTGCTGCAGCCCCCTCCTGCCCCCTGGCACCCTCCTGCCCTGCTCTTCAGCCCCCCCTGACCTCCGCAAAGTGCCTGTAGATGTACTCCCGTGCCCGTTGATGCAGCTCGCTGCAGTCAATCTGCTCAGCAAAGTTGGCGATGCCAATGGCGTTGCTGGGGTCTAGCTGTTGG